TCAAATAATTGTGGGAATAGTGACATTAATGATTTTTTGCCTTGTTGCCTTAGTCACCTTGGCATTCCATCAATGGCAATATATAAGCAATATATATATATATATATATATATATATATATATATATATATATATATATATATGTATATATATATGTATTATATATGTATATATATGCATATATATATATATATATATATATATATATATATATATATATTATATATATATATGTATAAATATATATGTATTTATATGTATAATATATGCATATATATATATATATATATATATATATATATATATATATATATATATATATATAATGTTGTGTGTGTGTGTGTGTGTGTGTGTGTGTGTGTGTGTGTGTGTGTGTGTGTGTGTGTGTGTGTGTGTGTGTGTGTGTGTGTGTGTGTGTGTGTGTGTGTGTGTGTGTGTGTGTGTGTGTGTGTGTGTGTGTGTGTGTGTGTGTGTGTGTGTGTGTGTGTGTGTGTGTGTGTGTGTGTGTGTGTGTGTGTGTGTGCGCGTGTGTGTGTGTGTATGTGTGTGTGTGCATGCTTAAATACATACATGCAAGTCGTAAACCTCGTAAATATCGAAATACAGCATTAGAGTTGAATTTTGCAGTTTCAATCGTAGTTTTCATAATCAAACTTTCATCAATCTCACAGGTAAGATCCTGCCTTTCCACCAGATGCACATGAACCGGGAAATCCTCGACGACTTTTATCCTCTAGGCTTTCAACCTTGATGGGTAAGGAGGTCAACCGCTCAGCTGAGGCAAGGAAGCAGCTTGCACATGCGCTCCCTGCGAAAACGGCAATTTTCTCTTCGTTTCCAATAGCGTTGTTGCTGTCGCTGCCGCAGGAAATGGTACTTCGTGGACCTGACGAGAAGCGTTTGATGCCGATTCTGAGTGTTTTTTTCTAATTGACCTACAAATATTCATTTGTATTATTGTTGTTCATACCTGCATTAAAAGCCAAATAAATTGCATGGTATGTGTCTGATGGTTGACCTGACAGGTAGATCGCCATATGGTGTAATTTAAGGGAATCTGTATATGACAGTCACTTGCCTGACGCAGAACACTTTTATTGCATTAGGTATGCAGTTGCCATAGGCACATGAAAATGGAAAGTGCCTGGGTAGTGAGGGAAAATAGAAATTTGTTTCAAAAACATATTTCAAAGGAAGACTAGAAAGATATAAAGCCTATGGTTTGAGGAACAATGTTGTTGTGCAAAGTATTTCAAAATATTGATTCCTGTGTACGTTTCTCGAAGGAGCAAAAATGTAACTAAACCAAGGCATATCTCGAAAGATATAAA